TGGACCTCGGGGATCCGTGTATAAAGGGCACGTAGTGTGCCCTCATTCCCTTTCCTCCTTCCTAGCAAGACATCTTGAATACAACCCATTGCGTTACTGCAGTACAGACCTCCTGACACTGATCAGTGATCGATTTGGTCGATCACAGATTGGCAAGGAAGAAGAGATAGAACGCAACCTTCGAAAGCCCAACTACCATATTCCTAGCGATATTGCCTGGTTGGACCTAGAGGAGGTTTCTATGCTAAGATCAAGGACTCTACGATTACCCGGACCCGGCAACCAACTAGCTCCCAGTAGGCCATTGATAGATCCTTCCAACTTCACTTAACGGTTACATTATGTAAGTGCGTCCACAACGCCGATTCAACAACTCCGTCACACCCCTCCCTATTCGACAACTACGTGACAACCCCCGCGATGACAAGCACGCCCCCACCCCCGAACCCCGCCTCTACGAGGAACGACGCCTTCCTCGACCAAGTAAGGGAATTGGTCCAAAATCTCACGATCCCAAAGACCCAATATCAGGATATCGATCCGACCTGATGGGAGGATGAGATCACGCCACAAGAGGAAGATAGAATAGCCTGCAGACATATACCGCACGATTTATGTCAGAATGCGAGGAGAACGTACACCTTCATGGCACTAATATCCTTGAATTCTTCCAGGATCACTTCCAACAGTGGACCGAGGCAACGAGAAAGATGCCAAAGGAATTTCGAAGGAGCTACGTTACCTTTTAAAGAGACGTGGTATCTATACAGGAGAAAAGGGTGACCACATCATCCCACAGCTCGTCTTCCTACAGACGATCGATAACCCACCAGCCTGGCCCGACAACGAATTCATGGTAACCCAATTCGATAAAGGAACGGAGGCCTATACAAGAAAAGAGAGACGACTAACGCAGAACCCTCCCACCTCCAACACGGCGGAGCCATCCACGCCGTTAGCCCCTATTCCGACGCTCCCTGCTCCTCCCTACGACAATTGCGGAACCGCCCACAACGACTGCTACGCTTCCCCAACGAACAATACATCCTACAAGCTATCAGTTCCAGCAACAGAGCATCGTTCTAGCAGAACCCTCTCTCCCCACATCCCCGAAGCGTACACAACGCTTCCCCGGCCGACATCCCGAACGGCATCGTCGATGCCGACACACAACAGAAATTCACCAAGATCTGGGACAAAGAGAAGAACTATACGGGGAACCCATGACCTCTCGATGATAAGCTACGCATCTTTATGAGTATCTGTTATAACATCTCAGGTCAAGCCGACCAATTCCACGCTCTTTCCTCGAATCCCACTGGCCGAGCCCAAACGTACTACATTGACCACGTTAACTGGACCTCAACGTTCCGCAAGGCATACGATAGCATCAAGCAACATTTCGATACGGAAGTTAACCACGTTCACTACTATACTGAATGGACGACTATTTCCTTTAACAAGCTCCGTGCCGATAATGCTACGAAATCCCTACACGAGGTTCTTCAGCTACTCCTTGATAAGCTACAGTTATGCCAACGAGCTCTTGGCAACGCGTATGCAGGAAACGTTCCACTGCGTACAACGCTTATTAATGCATGCCGCGGTGTTCCTGAACTTGAATACGCTTTATTCAAGCCCGCCGAAGGAATCGAGACCCTCTTTGCAGATCTACGATCTTCCGTTGAGACCCATCTGCACGCGGAATAGCGCCTCGTTCAAGGAGGCCCTCAATACCATCAAGACCTCGAGGAACCATCTGATCATATGGATCCCAATGACCACTACTATCTCGATCGAAGATACAACAACAATCGCGGAAGATTTGGTCAGAAGGGGTATAGAAGGTATAGGCAACGCTCAACGAGGCAGCTACAACGCTCCACGGGAATCTTCAATAGTCAACGCTTTAACCGCCCACAAGGCCGTTACGGCCACAACCACCCGTGGAATAAGAAGTGCTTCGTCTGCAATAAGGAAGGATGTTGGTCTACAAAGCACACTGCCGAGGAACGTCAAAGATCCTGAGACCAATACGTCGCCCACTGTCACTTCATAGGGATTACCCTCCCAGGACCTTACAGCCTACGTTCTTGACTTTGAAGGTCACGAGATGGATGCCCACGATGATGCTAACGACCCGGGACGAGGACGACAATGAAGATAATGACAACAACCCAGAACAGTGGCACAAGCCAAATGCTCTGCCAGCAAGCCTTCAACCATCTGATCACAGGGAAGACGTGTAGCACCTTCAAAACAACGCTACACCTGCTTCCCAATTCATGATAGAGGAGCGCTACTCAAGACCTGATTCCAGGGCATCATAATTGACACAGGCGCCGCGAAGGTTTCAGCTGGCTACGACCAATGCATCGCTCTACAACGAGAAGACCCTGCTATAACGCTCGATAAGACTACAGCAGGCCAAGTTCTATCAAACCGGCAACGGCGAAGCCATTCTATCCCTCGGCTCTATCGCCCTAAAACACCTCTCGGAAGGATCACATTCCATATCCTCAAGACCCCTACTCCTTCCTCCTCTCTCGCTGATATGGATCGCCTAGGCATCTATTTCAACAACCTTACAGACACTATTGTCGGACGAACAACCCTCCCGGTTATCCGCAAATGGGGACATCCTTGGTTCCTCCTACCTAAGACCAACGAGGCCGCTATCGCATCCTCACGGAGAGCGAGATCCGCACTCTTCATCGTCGATTGGGCACCCAGCGGTCCCAAGACTTCACAACCTCCTACGGCAAGCTGGCCACAACGATGTGACGATAGATATCCTAGAGAACATCTCGAGATTCTGTCATCACTGTCAAATGCACTCAAGCTCCAAGACGCTTCAAATTCACCCTAAAGGATGACCAGGAATTCAACTACGAAATCGTCGCTGATGTGCTCTACCTTGGAACCCTCAACGCCCCGTCTTGCACGTAGATACAGCAACAGCGTTCCAAGCAGCCAGGTTCCTCCTATCGATGTCAGCAAAGGATACGTGGAAGCCCCCGAGCCCTCTGATAGACACATATCTCGGACCCCTGATACTATCAAGCACGACGCAGGGACCAATTTTGCCTCCCTAGAGTTCCGTAACGAGGCAAAGCTTATGGGGATAACCTGCAAGCAAGTCCTGTGGAAGCACATTGGTCCGTTGGGTTGAAAGATATCATGCCCTCTCCGCCGTGCGTTTGAGATCCTCCACGCAGAAATCGGACCTCACATCCCCGAATTGATCCTTCAAATGGCTATCAAAGCCATCAACGACACAGCAGGGCCAAATGGCATTGTCCCTACGCTCCTAGTCTTTGGCGCCTACCCTCGAATGGCGTTAGATTCGCCCCTCTGCTACGACCCCAAAGGGCTGCCGCAGCCCAGAAGGCGATGAAAATGCTTCGTCAGCTCTCAGCAGAGCGGCAAGTGCAGGGCGCCTTACACACAAAGAACGGACCATCATCAACAGGCGTTATACTATCGCTCCCACTGCAAAGCGAGGTCCGAGTGTGGAGAGAAAGCTCGGCTGGCAAGGCCCAGATTAGTGCAATTGATGGCTCCAATGTCACACGATGATACTATCAACGGACCCCAGACCTTCCGTTCCACCTTGTGCAGCCTTATTTCCGCGACGAGACGACGATCCCTGCCCCGCTGCTGCTGCTGCGGATGATTCTGACATTCCTGTTTCTGATCCTGCGAGCGATTCTGTTCCTGTTTCTGCCCCTGCCCCTGCCCCGTTCCTGCTCCTAATCCCCGGCGCCGCGCAAGCGAGGCCGCCCTGGTTCGAAGAAAGCCAAAGACGACGTTCCTAGTCAAGAAGGAAGAAGATGCCTACCAACTAGCCATCAAGCTTACGGGACGAAGGCATTATCACAACGCCAGGCACCCTTTGAGGAATCCGATAGCACGGAGATCGATGATCTATTGGTACGAGGAGTGTTTGTTTCGAACGCTACAATGAAGCAAAGCACGGAACCATCATATCTTCCGCTCCCGCATGGTCCGCGAGGTTAAAGGCAAAGAAACCAAACCATACGAGAAGTCAAGGCTCGTCGCAAGGGCACAACGACCAAGAAAACCACCCTATTGACGCAATCCCCGACAATTCAACGCGTCAGTCAACGGCTTATTTCTGCTATCTCCCCAGACCTCCTTTCTCACGGCATGACCTCTCTTCGTGACATCACACAAGCGTATCCCCAGGCGCAGACCGAACTATTCCGCACCATCTCACGCATCTTCCCGCCGAATTAGAAGGAAGATACCGGAAGGAACAATCATTCGCGTTAAGCCCTCCATACGGAATTGCGGAGGCCGGAGTCCATTGGTTCCGCACATATCACGGGCATCATGTCGAGGTTATCGACATGTCCACATCAACCTACGACCTATGCTTCCTAATTACGAATAAGGGACCTGATAACTTTGGGATTGTGGGAATGCAGACTGACGATACCCTTATGCTTGGCACACAACGTTTTTCCGCGCTAGAGGAAGCGGAACTCGTAAAGGCACAATTTCGGGCAAAGCCGAAGACAACGATGACCCGGGTACTAGCATTGACTTCAACGCAAAGATAACCTCCAAGACACCACTTTCCACAACGCTCTACTGCTTCAACAAAGGGTCAAGCAGCCAAGATCGAACCCATCGACATCAAGGCATACGATCGAGCCCAACAGTACGTGGAACAGCGTGCCCGTGGCGCGTATGTGGCTTCAATCTGTCAACCAGAGGCCTCATTCGACATCTCTATTGCTGCCCAGGTCCAAACCTACGGAAGAGGATTGCACGACCTCAACAAGCGGCTTCAATGGCAGAAAGACCACCAGCAGCGAGGCCAACGTATATCCCTATTGACCTCGCCAATGCCAAGCTTATCGTCTTTACCGACGGTTCCTTTGCGAACAATAAGGACCTATCGTCACATAGGCTTCGTCATTGCCTAGTCAATGAGACCGAGACCGCACGTACCAAAGACCACCGGGATCGCAATGTCCTCCATTGGAGCTCAACGAAGTAAGAGGGTCACCCGAAGCGTGCTAGCATCAGAGATCTACGGCATGGTCAACGGATTCGATATTGGGATATCACTAGCAACGACGATACGGAAGATCACAGACCGCCTCAATCTTCCCTATCCCCTAATCGTTTGCACCGACTTTTTCCTCTACGAGTGCCTCGTTAAGCTAGGCACAACGAAGGAGAAGCGATTGATGATAGATATCATGGCCTACGTCAATCCTACGAAAGGCGAGATCACAGAAATCCGCTGGATTAACGGCGCAGACAACCCAGCAGATGCTATGACAAAGGCATCGCCTAACCGCGCCCTCGAACGCCTCGTCGATACGAATAGCCTTACGATTAGGATAGAAGGATCAGTCGAACGCCCTCCCGCCAGCTGCCGCTCGAACTGTCACTCTTTCGCACCTTGCGGTTGCTGCTACGCTCCCGCACCTGCTGCACTGCTGCGATTGCAGCGATGAAAGAAGATTTGCCAGTGTGGGAATGTAGCATATAGCTATAGTAGGATTGTAAGGGAGGTGCACACACGCACACGTGACCCTTAGCGTCACGTGTATGGACCTCGGGGATCCGTGTATAAAGGGCACGTAGTGTGCCCCCTCATTCCCTTTCCTCCCTTCCTAGCAAGACATCTTGAATACAACCCATTGCGTTACTGCAGTACAGACCTCCCGACAAATACCTAAATAAAATAAATAAGGACTAAGTAAAAAATAAGGTATACTATCTATAAAAGGGCTATAGACTAGTATAATACGATAAGATCTAAGGACCCTATATATAGTAACGGTAAGCTATAGCGACTAAATAGTATTAAATATCTAAATCGCGGGATATTATATATATATACTTTTAAACTATAGTACGATAGGTAACTACGTTTTACCTAGAGTCGTTAATTATTACTAACTTATATAGAGATATAAGATAGATCTATATAAACTTACGAATATCGAAGGAGAGGCCTTTAACTATAATAATAGAATTATTAATATAAAGATTAATTACCTCGATATTAATATCTAGGGCTATAATAAACGAGTTAACTTCGATATTATAGATATTAAAAAACATAACCTTATATTAAGGCTTTTATAGCTATAGGAGAGCAACCTACTAATTAACTAGAAAACTAGCTAGCTATATTAGGATAAAGATATAAGTTTCTAAGACTAGTAAATTTAAGAGAAAGTAAAATTTTATAATAATTTAGCTACTAAAAAAAAAAATTGGATAACCGTTTAAGTAAATTATTATAGGCTTTAGTAATATAAATAAAAATAGTAATTAAACCGGCGGATATAATAAAATCGACTAATAAGACCTATATACTAACTAATACGGCTATATAACCTAGTATCCGATATAAATAGAATAAAGGATATAATATAAAGATCTAAAGAGTTATTACTACTTTAAGGAAAGACCTTAAATAAATTAATAAAGAGCTTAAGTTAAGAGAAACTAGCTCTTAAAAGAAAGAATAAAGCCTATAAGATAAAATAAAGAATATCCCCTAGGAATGGAAATATAATAAACTCTTTAAAGAAGAACTTAAGATATAGTTACCTAAATATAGCTAATAGGACTACGAAATTTATCTTAAGGATAGAATAACCAACGTTCTATAAAATCTATAACTTAAACGAAAAGTAACTATAAACACTACATGACTACCTTAATAAGAATCTATAAAAGGATATATATAAATATTAATATCTAAAGTAGGCTATCTAGTTATATTTATTTTAAAGAAAAACGGTAAGCTATAACTAGTTATTAACTATAAACGCTTAAATAATATTATAATAAAAGACCGAATACTATTACCGCTTATATCGGAACTATAAGATCGACTATATAGTAAAAAATAGTTTATAGCCCTCGACCTTAAAGGCGCTTATAACTTAATACGTATAAAAAAGGGACGCGAATAGATAATAGCCTTTAGAACGAAATTTAGACTATTTAAATATCTAGTAATACTATTTAGATTTATAAATATACTAGCTACCTTCTAACGGATAATTAATAATATCCTACGCGAATACTTAGATATCTTTATAGTAGTATACCTAGATAATATCTTAATCTTCTTAGATACCCTAGAAGAATATAAGGAATACGTCTATAAGGTACTCTATATACTTTAGAATATAAAGTTACTAGTTAAACTAAAGAAAAGTAAGTTCTATATATAGGAAGTAGACTTCCTTAAATATACGATCTTACTAAGAGAGATATAAATATAATAAGATAAGATTAACTTAGTTAAAGAATAGCTAATACTAAAGAACGTTAAGGATATATAAAGTTTCCTAGGATTTATAAATTACTACTAACGATTTATTAAAGATTTCGGAAAGATTATAGTACTACTATATAACTTAATAAAGAAAGAAAAAGAATTTATATAGGACGATAAAGCTAATAAAGCTTTTAAATATATTAAGACTATAATTATATAAGAACTAGTCTTAACTACCTTTAATCTAGAACGATAAATCGAACTTAAAACCGATATATTAGACTTTACTCTAGGAGTATAAATCGGATAAAAAGATAATAAAGGAAGACTATAACTAATTATATTCTACTCGAAAAAGCTATATAGCGTAGAACTTAATTACCCTATCTACGATAAAGAATTCCTTATAATTATTTAAGCTTTTAAGGAATTTTAATACTACCTTCTTAAAAGTAAATATAAAGTTAAGGTCTATATAAACTATAAGAATATCTTATATTTTATAACAACGTAATAGTTAAACGGACGATAGATCTAATAGGCCGAATACTTATTAGAATTCGACTATAAAATAATCTATAGAAAAGGAATAGAAAACGGTCGAGCTAATACCCTTAGTCAATAAAGTAACTATAATATAGGGGCACCTATAGCGAAAGGATAGCTCCTAGAAATTAACGAAAACGGGAACTACTAGTAATAATAGCTAAATATAATATTTAAAGTATAACCTAACGACTTAACTTATTAGAAGATCCTAAAATAAATAAAAGAATATAAAGTATTAAACGGATACGATATAAGATATTTAGAAGTTCTAATATATAAAAATAAAATCTAAATACTATTAGAATTATAAGATAAAGTTATATAAGATATATATAAATATCTAATATATAGATACTAAGGAATCTAAAGAATAATAGAATAGATTAAACGATAATATAACTTCCTATAGCTTAAAGAAGTAGTATAATAAGTTATTAAAGAATATAAACTTTACGTATAAAGTAAAGCTAAACGATATAAACTATATAGAGAATTATAACCGCTACTAGTACTAGAAAAACTATAGGATTTAATAGCTTTCGACTATATTATAAAGCTATTACCGTTAAAAGAACCTATAACTAACATTAAGTATAATAGTATATTTATTATTATTAATAGATTAACGAAGTATAGATACTTTTTACTATATAAAGAAGTAAGTAATATAAAAGAGCTAGTATATATATTCCTATAAATAATTATTAGTAATTATAGACTATTAAATAAGATTATCTTTAATAGGAAGTATATTTATAGCTAAGTTTTAGTAAGCTCTTATAGTATAATTAAGGACGAAATATAAGCTTAGTATAGCTTATTACCTATAAATAGATAGATAAATAGAACGACTTAACTAAACGCTTAAATAATATTTACGATGCTATATTAGCTACGAATAAAACGATTAAGTTAAATAGCTACTAATAGCGTAACTAGCTTATAATAGTAGTTACGGAAATAACTAAGCTCTTACTAGTATACGCTAATTACGGATATAACCTAGAAGTATTTAAGGTTACTCGATAAGGACTATAAGCGGAACGAGTAATACTATAAGTAGATTAGCTATAAAAATTATATAAAGAAATATAATAAGAACTTTAATTTATTAGAGAACGAATATCTACTTACTATAATCGGAAAAGATTATAGGGACTAATCTTTTAAGAGGGAGATATAGTCTACCTTATACGACGAAATATTAAAATAAAATAACTAAGTAATAAATTAGATTTTAAGAAACTTAGACTATTTAAGGTTAAGGAAACTATTTTAAAAGTTAACTATAAACTTTCGCTACTAATAATAATATAGATATACCCGATATTTTATATCTTATTATTAGAACTAGCGCTATAAAACGCTAAACTATAGGGAAAAATCGAAGTTAACGATAATTAAGAATATAAAGTAAAATAAATACTAGATATAAGAAAATAAGGTTAGTAATAAGAATACCTTATTAAGTAAAAAGGATATAGACTAAAGGAAAATACCTAGGAACTACTTAAGCACTTAACCTACTATAGCTCTTTACTTTAATAATTTTACTAGAAGGTTTAAGAGGGATTAAAGGACTAAGATCTATAAACTCCTTACTAATACTAAATAAGGACTAATTCGCCTTATTAAGAACGCCTAACGATTATAAGTTATTTACTACTTAATGCTTATATATATTAAGCGTAGGCAAAACGCTATCCTTAGTATCTACTTCTTAGATACTACGACGAAATAACTTAGAACTCTTTTCCTTTATACGATTCCGAATCTTCTAGATATAAGCTAAACGATTAACGGCGATAGATATTTACGACTAAAGATTTATAAGCTATGCCTAAAGCTCTAATAAGGCTTCCCTAACTTCCTCCTCTTTAGAATATAGCTTATACTACTCCGCTAATAATTTAGTTACTAAAAGAAATACGTTAGCTACTATATATAGAAAGAATTAAAAGATACTTATAAGAAGAGGCTACTAAAATACTATTATAATAGGGACGACTATTAATAATATAATTATTATAGCGCGAAGAATTTTCGGCTATCTAATAATTTATCTTCTTTGCCTTAAAGTATTAAGTATACGGTATATTAATAGGATCTCTACTTAAGTCGATATATTTAGTAAGAGTAGCGCCAAGGGCTTTTAGAACGATTTTTAGTATATAACTAGATATACTATTAGTAGTATATCCAAAAGGATAAAGAGATAAGGAATAATATACTTACGTACGACGCGATAAGGGTATATTTATATACGGCGGCTAAGGTAGCTATAGTAGGTCTTACGGATAAGACTAAAAGGAGGGGAGATATCGTATTATAACTATAGCTACTAAGCCGCTAACGGTCGACCGCGTTAAGCACGTAATATAGTCTAACGGATAAATAGTTAGTATAACTATTTAATAGATATAGGATCGAGGGGATCGTAGAGATCTAAGTAATCTAGGATTAATAAGATTACTACGCTCTATATAATCTAATATTAGGGATTATAGCTAGGCCTATAATCTAAGGATAGTCTTTATAGGTATATATAGCTACCTACTTTTACTTCTTTAAATAGATAGCTCTCTAGCTTTTAATATAGATCTTTATTACGATTTATCTCTAATTTTAATTACCTAGTTATAGTCTACGGTCTATAACCTCTAA